AATTGCTCTTGTTGCTGAATCATTCTTGAAAGCAGAACTTTTAAAGGACATTTTTAATCAGTTGAAATTTCGTTGGTTTCTATCAACGCTCGGAAATTGAGCAACATTATCATTTTTAAGGGATTTCTTCTCGGTTTTTTTGCTTAGTCAATATTTTTCGAAAAGCAAAATTAATTCGGTTATTAATTTTAGTTTGAGCGTTGTGCATTAATCACTGAAGGTGAGTGAAATTTCGACAAATATAAATGGCTCAAAATTTAAAATTAAATTAGTGAAAAATCGGCAATTGGAGCGTTTTTTGTTTAGTTGCTGTTCACTTTCGTTAAGTTGGATCGTGAAATTTGCAAACACTAAACAAACTTAAATAAAACTGCCAAGTAAAGCATGAATCATCGAAAGGGCGAACAATTAAATGATTAAATAATCATGTTTATTCTGTAGTTCGGTGTCTTTTTCTCGAAAACCTGTATGAATGTTCAGTTTGCAAGCGGCAGTAGACGAAATCAGTCAATAATCACCTTCTTAGATGGAAAATATAGAATCATTGTGACCCTTAGGGCACGTGCGGTAGTTTGTAAAAATGTAGTGAATTTCTTGATGATTAATGGGTAGAAAATGGAGGATGGGGCTCCAGCTTGCAAAAAGCTGGTAAGAATAATCTCTAATCTATAAATCTTTTAGCTTGAACTGAGTTTAGTTTTCCGGCAAGCAACTGTAGTTTTATGGATTCTTTATTCTCTCTCTTTGCTTTGCTGATTTCAAATAAGTTTGGCTTTGGACAGATTTCCTGCTGTAGTAAACACATTTTCTTCTTTCTTTCCAGGTGGCACTACGCAGCTTTAGGTAAGCTAAGCATTACTTTTTCCCTGGTTGCCATGTACATATTAGTGGCGTTTAGCCTCATATTCATCAACTGACTCGTAGGGTGGATTTGGTATCGATTGAGCTATTGGTTCTTTCGTAGTTATTTTTTAAACTTTGGGAATATTTTTGTATGGATGTATATATATACATCAATATCATCTGAAGCTTTTTGCTAAATAACCGCTTCAGATATGGAAATTTGGGTTCCAGTGTTGAATACAAGAAGCATCAGCTTACTGATAGTGTGGATTTGTATAGTGTGGATTCACAAAAGAATTTTTAACTTTAGGAATATTTTGGGCAGCTTTGTATTTTGACAGCAAGCTCATCTGAAGCTGATCTCCAAAGAACCGTTTCGGATATGCAAATATGGGTTCCAGTTTTATGCTTTTCAATAAAAAAGTATAGAGTTTTAGTTTTGCCTGTTTTTTTTTTAATTGCGAAATCGACTGAAACATGACGCCACCTTTTCTTACGTTGCTCAAGAATTATTTGAGCCACAGAGTTCGTTTTTATATCAATGGATAAAGAATTGGCAACTCGATTCACTTTTAACACTGTGCGTGAGTAAACTGGTAAATTTGGCACAAAAGTCATACAAATATGATGAATATGAGGCATCCTAAATATTGTCAATCTTTCAAGTTTCTACCGGCTTTACTTTGGAAGTTGGCATTTTTTGATGAAGAGTATGCAGTTGCGTGGAAGCGTCATTTTCTCATCAACATTTACGAAACGCGCAAAATTCAGGATTTTATGCGATTCTTTGAAGGTTTGAAGCAATTTTGGCGACATTTAGAGTGCACTCTTCTTTACTGAACGCACAACTCGGAACTTGTAGAGTATTTTTCGTTTCTAAGTTTTTCGTTATAACTCATCTCGTCTCACTGTGCCGCACTTTTAACTACGCTCAGCATTTAACCCAGGGGCGGATTAAAGCTTTACGAAGCCCGCGCCTAGAATTTGAACAACGAACAAAAAAAGATCACACATTTTTTAGGAGAAACATTTTCCCAAATGGATGACTGAAACTGTTCCGGTGAGTTACTGTGTCGGAGAGATGGGTTGGCGCAACAAGCCATTTCGGCAACACTGTGCCAACTCCTAAAAATTAACCGAATTACTCATGCGTAGAGCGCACACGTGCACTTGTTGAAGAAGCGCCGTTCATGTGATCACTGCATTTTTTGGGGCGCAGAGCAGAAACACCTTTGGTCTATGCATTTGCCCGGGATAATTATTCAACTTAACTAAAGTACTTAGAACTAACTAATAACCATTCGAATTTTACCATTCAAAAATTACATATTAAAGTAAACAAACAAGAAATAGTGGAATGTTACATACAGTATATCAATTGCGGTTCATATAAAAGTATCCAATATACTTTATTGGACACATTAGAAATATCCATGAAACTGCTTCCTTTATATGCTTTATTTCTGCATCAAATACTTACACTGCAAACGGTGACGATTTATCAGCTAAAAACATCAGACGGAGACAAAAAACCTTTATTTAAGAATTTTAAGCCAAATGTCCTACAGTAAACTTTTTTATTCCCTGGATGAACTATGTAGTAAAACAGCCTCTAGACAACTAGTCAGCCCAAAAATGTCCATATCAATTCAAACCGAAATTCTCTAAATAAATATACCTAATAAACTAGAAATCACCACCTTTAAAAATTTGCCATACAAATCCCGATTGGTCCAACCAATAAAAAAACGTTCTGGGTAAGCGACTAGGAATCTATATGGTCTTACTAATGGTGATTCCTAAATTAAAAGTATGTCAATTGTAAATATTCATTGTTTCAATCAATCAACCAGTCAATCATACCTAAAACTTGGTGCAAGTGTGAGTAACACACAGTAAGTGATTTATAGATGTGCCATTTTAGTGCGCATGTCACCTACTGCAGTGAGGTGCCTAGCAAAAGGAATTTGAGGACAAGAGGAGCATGAAAAAAGTTTTCGACTAAAATATTTTTGTTGATTGATGTTCAATTTGGTATTCAAAATTGTGAAACTTTTTCCATAAAATCGGGAACCACACAAATGAAAAGTGTCATGCAAGGACAAAGTTTACTAAAATACAAAAAACTGTGCTGAAAACGTAAAAATGTCAAGGTGCCGATAGTGACTTAAAAAATTGTGCCATTGCAATGCAACTCGGTGCGAGTGTGAAGAAAAGTAAAAAGCAATCAATACATGTGAACGTGAGTAGCTAAATTCAAAGCAATTTAACATAAAACGGTAACTAAAACGTTTAGAAATACCAAAAATATATATCATTCGCATTACACGAAAAATCTAAAAACGTTGAAAAAACCTCTTTTGTGCTCCTGCAAACGCTTTTGTAGACAGAAAAATACAAAGACATTAAGAAACGTCATCATTAAAACACAGTAAAAATAGATATTATGGAAGTTCCCTATCAAAAACAATGTCAGGGTAAAAATTGCTGCAAAAAGGTAAAATACAAAACCAGCATCAAAAATCCTTCCTGGGCGGGCTGCAATGGTTAAAAATCGGTATAGTCACTTTTGATACATATCACCAAGGATATGCCAAAAATTCTAACAGGTACTAAAAAACTATATAACAAAATTCACAAATCGTGCCTCATTAAATTTAATTTACATACATAAATCAAATAGATCAATAGCATTTAAGCTGGAGGAACAATTTATAATTCTGTTATATTAAAAAAAATAGAAAATGAAAACAACAAACGAAAAAACTACAAAAGTTGTGAAACAAATAAGGATAAAGTAGGATTAAGGAATAATCTGAAGGGCTTACTCTCCATCTCGTAAGCTGATGTGGCCAATATAGTAGAGAAGTTCAATAATTAATTTAACCATAAAATCAAGAGCCTTTAATTAAAGACGCCACTTGAATAACATAATGTAATATTAGGTATCATTGTTTATTATTAAGCTCGTTACGGTAGCTATTACATTTATAATTCAATCATAATAAATTAGAGTTTTCAACAGATTCGGAAAATTAATTATTATAATTGCAATTATATAAAGGATGGGTTTTAATCGAGTGATGAATATTTTTACAGACCTTTCGTCGAGACCCAAGGGGGTTAAAAACAAAAGGATAATTTCACGATGAAGGCAATTCCTATAATTTTGCTCGTTTTCAAAGTAAACAGCAGCTGAAATGTGTAGTTATTCTCGAATTTCTCTCAACGGTTTTAATGCATAAACTTTGACTGACTGTTTTAGGCATGAGGAAATATCTAGTCTTTGATAGCTAGATTGTACAACATATTGAAGGTTCCAAAAATTTTCGATTTATTGACCATTCAAGCATCAGATTTCAATGCTTTAATTCCAAAACGTCAAACTTTATAATAACATAGTAATTAATAGAAACGTCCACCCGCAAAAACTAGCATTAAGTAGATTTTCTGAATTTGGAATAATAACATATTAAGCTAAAGTGACTCGAAGGAAAGAATTTATACATATAAATAAGCATTCAAATGAATTATCTAAGCAAAGGCTAACAGATAAACAATTGCCCTTTACCATAAAAATAAGATAGAAAGTTCCTAAGTATTCATAATAAACGCAATATTAACAAGAATCTTGAACAGATAAAAATATAACAAAACAATGTTGATTTGAATGAAAATTTATTTCGACTAAAAGAAAACAAATGTTGAAACATACACAGATCCATTTCTTTTATTTCGACCAAAAATGCAAACTTCATATTCATCTAAACTCCTTCAGAGCCCAAAAGAAAAATTAGTTCTTCGAACTTACGACATTCTAATTCTAATATTTACACTGGAATATTTTCCCTTTAGATTTACTACAGATTAATTTCTGATTAGTTCTGATAAAATGACTTAAAATCAGTGATCGATGGTTCAATTTCATCAAGCGACAAATCCAAAATTGCTGCTAATTCAGCTATCAACAGTGAAGTCAACTGAAAATTCAGTTCAACTCGGAAACAAGTCTTAATTTAAGTATTTAATTTTTGAGATAAGCCAACAATTCAAAATATTTTCATTTTCCGACTTTAAATCAAATATACATACATATATCCTTTTTACGTCCAGCTGATTTTATAAATTATTCTGGAATCATAGGGAAACATTTTGTTATGTTGCTCGTTGATTTAGATAGACTAGATTCATTATTATCTGTGGCTATTGATATGGGATTATATGTACGTCAGTATATTTGTACACAATTATGACAATTTTCAAAAATTCTTATTCTTTAATAGTTACTATCTTAAAACAATGACCTGTCGCTTTATGGAACTAAACCATACAAACCGATTTGTTGAACTATTATTAATTTGCATACATTTATATTCATTGTCCGGTGTTTAATCTTTGACATTGGATTATTCAAAGAAAAAAATTTTGCTCATATAAGAATGTGTCCGCCGCCACCGTTTAATTTATGGTTAACAATATTTTAGAGTTCCTTTTTAAAAAAGTGTATGACCTTGGTACATTTTTCGGGACGCCAAATGTAAAGACGCTTGCAATCAAATGGCTCTAACGGGTTTTCATCACCTTTATTTTATATTTACAATCAAATATTTTCATATTTATGTATATTTTCTTGAATCCTCCTAATAAAAATTGTTTTAACACATTTTCCGTTAAAAAATAATTAACTATTTTGTTAAAGTGTTATTTTGTTGATCAATTTGTTCTTACTTTATCGGAATATATGCATATGAAGCTCCGTGTTTAACGTAAATCAAGCATCCGGAATCATTGTGCATGAAACAAAAAGTCCTATTTTTATTTGCAGAGTGTGTAGTTAACTATTGAAAGCTAATTTTAGGACACTTGCTAATATGCACATTATTACAGGATTGCACTTTTCAAATTGTCAGACAAATTTATTCGAAAATGATTGAAATTGCTGCAAAAATTACTTCCTGGACAAATAATAATGAACTGGGACAAACCACTGCTTTTTTGGGAAAATATTTCAAATAATAAAAATTTGATTGTTCGTCCAAAAGTATCAGCTTAACAATAGATCAATTCCAAGTGTACAATTACACATTTTCGAGCTGTTACTTTGAAAACCTCAAACACTTGTAGGAAAATAAAATGGAAAAGTAAGTTGAAACTAGTTAGGTACTCCTTCTGTGAACGCAGGCATCTTGGTTTTATTTCGATAAAAAGATTTAGATTAATAAATATTGTAATTTTCATTTTCATTTTTCATTCGTAACTAATGTCGATAACTCAGAAACGTACCATCTTCGAGGGTTTGAACCGTGATAGGGATAGAGGCAGGTCCATCGCCCACCGAGGTCCCAGCTAGCACCCAGATACGGTACGTTGTCCAACGTTTTAATTCGTCTAGCACGAACGAGGTCGCGTTCATTTTGTTAATGGTTGCCTCGCTATCTGATCGATCAGCTTCCACAAAATGCAGCTTGTAGTAAATAATGTTTCCGTTGCTTCGGTTAGCTGGAGGTGGATCCCACCACACCTTGATGGCAGTCGGACTTACCGCATTGCCATGCACGTTGCTTGGTGGCGCACCCGGCACTACGAGTGGCCAGCAGGTTAACACTAGTGCCCACCAGCTCAGAACGGAGCTCTGATCGCTCAGTCTGAGCTTGGCGGGATGTTAGTAAAATTGTGTAAAGTGGTTTGTGTTTGAGTGACAAGTGCGTTTGGCATCGTGAATTCTCATTCCGCTTTTTTCAACACCTTTAATTTCGCTTTCACGTTTAGAGAAGACATTAATTGAAACTACGATATTCAGTTTAATTCAATCCTGCTCAACCGACTTTTTTTCAGAAGTTTTCATTCGGCCCGTTTTCAACGGGCGTTTTATTTAAGATTTGGCTTTTAACGTATTTTACTTATGTTCGAAGGGAATCGGGAATAATCTACGGTCCAACAAAAAATTAAAAATAAACGAAAATTAACAAATGATACAAATCTCAAATACATTCGTTGCGATGCAGAGTATATTCGTCTTAAATGCAACGTATTGAAGTCGCTGTTAACAACTATCATTCAATGATTTTCGGGATTTAATTTTGTTTCGAAGATACATGAGGAAAAAGGTTCACTGATGTTTAAAAGACGCAATTCAAAGAGTGGGTAATTTTATACTAATAGAAATTCAAAAATCGAGACAAATTTATATTTTTTATTATTTTTTTTAAAGAAATACATGTTCTATAAACAAATATAATATAAAAAAACGTTGTTTTGGGCGAGAGTGGCAAAATTTAACGTATTTCACCTGTTAAAATAAAATTCTTATTGAAATTCGATAGTTTGACTCTTAGGTATATTAAAAATTCCTAAATGAGAACATTTTGGCTCATTACAGTTTTGTACAATTTGCCAGGAAATAATAATAATAAACCCGAAACTGGTTCTCCTCATTAAATAGTAGAGCTTATGTTGGAAACATATAAAGGAAGACGCTTGTTTTAAATTGAGCTCAATAACAGGACACAAAAAGAGGCAAGCTCGGTAAACTTCCCTAAAATTGAATCAGTTTTATCAGCGATTCTGCTAATAATTAAGATAAATAACTACAAATACTAGTTTCGCCATTCTGCATCTTAAAAAGTCCGGCGTTTTGAAAACACGTTTATACAATATTTTCGTCTCAACATACCGTTTTGTTTTATCAAAAAATTAAGACCTACTTGGGTTAACTCAATATGATGTGTATTACTTATTTTATTTGAAATTTTCTTCATAGTAATCGACGGAAAATGAAGGACTTCACTGTAATTTATTCCTTTAACTAGTTCAAGAATTCGACTCCAGTCTTATCCATATGAAATCTCTCCGATTGAAATATTTTTAATGACAAATGTTTCAATCGGAGAAAAGAAAAAAGTTACTAACTAAATTTAATCAAAGGAGAAATGTTTATATCTTCGAAACAAATTGACTTTCCAAAAATTCAATCCATCTAATGCTGCTGCACATAGACGAAATACTCTGCATAGCAATACGAAAACAGTAATAAGTTAGAAAAACGTCAGAATATTTAAGAAAATATGTTATTTATACCATTAATATTATATTATAAGTCGCCCTTGCAAAGAATGATCAACACCGGATATGTATTTATCCCTATTTCACCCTATTTGGGTACCCTGTTTCACATAAAAATGTTTGGAAAATTTACCCAAACGGATGCTTCGATTGTTGGCAATCTTATTCAGAGTGTTTTACACTTTCAACTGACTTTATCTAATTGTGGAAACAAAAATTAAATGAATGAACACTTTACATTCGCTAATGCATTCAATCGAAATACAGCATTTCCTCCTATGGAAACATCGTTTGTCACTTCCATGTTATTTTTTTTCTGTGAGTCGGCTTGATTGACTTTCGAAAAATGTACGCAACCGGTACATGACAAAAATTTTCAAAAATAAATAGGAGTATTTATTTCTTAAATCTATCAAAATATTAATTTTTCATAGTTCTCAATTAATTTGCATTAGGAAGTATTGAGTTGTTTTGAGCGGATTTATTTATTTTCTAAATCTCTAATATTCAGAGAGGATATTTTTCAATATTAACGTTTTTATAGCAGAAAAACTTCCAAATGGAACGTTACCAGCAAACCATAGGGGTGTTGTTGAATGTGTAATGTATATGAGTTGTGTTTAACTGCATAGTTAGAACAGTTATTTAGACACTGCGAAAATACCAAAATTATTATTAAGCATCTTATAATTACTAAATCACAGAACGTTTCTGTTAGCACCATGATAAATGCCATTTAATCTTGCGTCGAATAAAACGAAAAAAATACCTGTAAAAACTGAACAAAGACTACTTTGAGCTGAGAAATAAGAAAATAATTGGATTAAATAATCTTGACTTGAAATAGAGTAACATATGGAACGAAATAAAAAGGTGCAATTGCACTTATAAGTAATCACATAGCCAGTACTGTGCGGTGCTTCTTAAAAAATAAAACTTAATAAATCCACTGACTAAAAAATGGTTACTGCATGCTCATATTTGAATGCAAGTCGCACATTCACACGCGCAAACGCACTAAACTAATGTATTTTAAAATGGATAAAATTCGATTATTTTTCACTCGCCACAACACGCTATCTATGAAAGTAAAAAGTGTTAATTCAAGGACTGCCCAAACATTTTCGGATTTGACACTATCGCTAACTCTACTTGGATCATTTGTGTTCACGATGTTAGAAAGTGAACAGTTGCTGAGAAGAACGCTTGCAAAATGAATGAAGCACATATTTTACGACGAATAGTACTACATAGTACATTGAATCCGATTTGATTATTTATTTGGTGCACAAATTATTGCATATTAAACATACTCTAAGTAAAATTATTGATAGCGCAAATCCTATTTATGTTTTTATTATGTTTGATTGAATTCCTCCACAAACAAAATTACTTAGCAAAAAAAATAGAATTTTAATCAAAGGCACGTTAAGTATTAGGCTCATCGGAGTAACAAGTCAGTGTTCACTTACTGTTCAATTTCAAAATATCTCATCTGACTTAGTCACTTTTACCGTGAGTATGAAAGTTTCATTTTCGGATGTCAAACGTGTATGTGTTCGATATCAATAAATAATCTAAACGAGAATGACAAACGTCGCCGAATTCTTACCATACTGCTTGGTTCTCACTGGGATTGGTGGAGTAGTGGCGCCCTCGCCTCTCTGTGATCTGGCAGCCAACCAAACGTAGTACAAAGAGTTGGGATACAATCCACTCAAAGTGTACGACTCGGTGATGGAGATGCGACGATGGTGCTTTTCTTTCGCATAAGTGTCGTTCCAGTAGAGCTCGTAACTTACTATACTTTCACCCGAATGAGTCGGTTTGTTCCACTGCAAAGTTACCGCACTTTCAGCAATGTCTGAGACGCGTAAATTGCTCGGTTGACTTGGAACACCTGGAAGAAAATTTAAATTAATTATTAACATTGTTTTACATACATACAATGATCTGCGTCTTTCGATGCTCGATCTCTTTTCTGAATCCGAAATCCGAATGTTTTGCATTAAATCTTCCATTAACGTTCTGGTCATCTATTTCATACCTCTCTAGTCTTGAGCGCTAAGAACTGAATCATCTGCGAAGCACATGCACATTCTTTTGCATTTTTTGCATTTTTTTTGCAAGCTCAATGCCTTTTTCTGTGTTCGGCATGTCGTTGAATATTATTATTCCACATGTTACTATAACTTTTGCATCCTTGTAGAGTTTTAAACACGTTTCTAAACTTATCGTCGAGTTCCTCTGTTTCTTCCCATATATTTACTACATCTTTTACAGCCATGTTATTAGCTTTTTAGATATCAACAAATAACGGATCCACGGCTTTATCCAGTTCTCTCCATTTTTTCTATAATTGGTGTGAGCAAAAGTGCGGTCAATGGTTGAACTACCTGCACGGAAACTAAAATCGACTGGTTCTTCTGCTTTTTTGATTATTAATTMTTCTCAGTTTTGTTTTTAATCATCTGTCCATATCTTSGTGCCGTCGAAATAATCTGATTAGWTGGCAGAAKAATTTTTTGTTYCTATTTTTAWTAAGTTAACCGTATGYAYCTCTCGATWTACTATTTTTYAATAGTCCAACCCTATTGTTGTTTGTATATTTTGATTTTGGATCTTCTTTCCGGCTTTTCATTAATAGAGCTCTCCTGACATTTTGCAATTACTTYCAGCTCTCTGTACATTGCTTTCGACCAAAGTAATGTTGATGGTGTTTTTGWCGCGTTCTGTTCTTCTTTTTCTTGCCYTTTTGTCTGKGGCTTKCGCTCATTTCCATTTCACTTGGTWGGCATCAGGTTTACTTCTCGAYCTCACTAGTASGGTTTCCGTTCCATCTATCTAATGTTTCAAGTTYTGYCTTACGTAGCGATACTTAKTTTCCTATGACTCTTCGGTCATCATAAGTTAAAAAGGCAAACGTTTCCAGGTTTCTATATATTTACCCTTTCTTCCTTGTCTATTGCAACGGCGGGGAAGGTCTTGAGTCCTTTGTGTTAAATATAAACCGGACTGATTTATTATTTTAATTACTGCTTCATTTCATTAAATTCAAAAGAAAAAAWTTCAAAAAGAAACTACTTTTTGAACAAATCAGTTGCTCTTAAGAACATTTCCTTAACGGATTGGCTRGCAGCTTTTTAATCCCGTCAACATGTAGCAACTTCGAATGCACAAAATATTGTAACGTTTGAYCGTCGTCAAAGCGCTCGGCTTCAAGTGCTTCTTCCAGGGATCGGAGCAGATCAATAAACAGAGATAATCACAAAAATATTTAAAATTTTATTACGAAGTTTGGATGCTTTTTACGATGTTATTGGACGCGGTTCCGGACGTTTTATACTTTTTTGGCGCAGTTATCTTTTTCTTTTTGATTYCACCGAAGCCTGYTATCCATCGATTCCGTTTTTCYATWAGGGATTGTGTTGCTACCTAATWGAACGTTTAAGAAATGTATYTTCTTTCTATTYACCAATTTCAGTTCATGTGCCCTGTGGTATTTTGATTGGGCTCAGTTTATTTTAAATTTTTYTATTTTTCTGAGCGCACTAGGAACTTTAAAATTTTTTATATCAGATATTGCTAAATGTTTACGTTTATCAGATTTTCAATCTTCCGATTTCACAAATCATCATTTTGCTACATCTTTTATATTATTGTTGTAAAGGAAGTTGATCTCATACATTTTATTTCACCTACACAGCTTCAAACGGATTACCGATGAGATAAGCGGCYTGCATTAATTTGKATGTTCACTGAGTTTTTGGAATTGTTTAAARATGTAAAATGTATTTGAAAGTTATTATTAATTTTTATTACTGGTAGCTTTTCAGGCTWAMGTCAATTATTTAATAATTCAACTTGAGTGCGGTCATTGCACCSTCAAATTGTATTCAGATATCTGCSTTTAAAATAAATTAAATKCTTTTTAAACCAAAAGTAAGTCGCTATAAAAAGACCACTTACCTTGTTGGGTTTTAACATGAACAGGTGGGCTTAATGGTCCAGGGCCTACTGAAGTCATGGCTTGAACTCGAATGGTATAGATTGTATGTGGAGTGAGTTCACTGATGGTTGTTAGTTGATTGTTATCCACCACTTGTGATTCCCATTGGGCCATTGTAAGTTGAGAGTTGGTCGTATAGTATACTTTATAGCCCTACCAAAACCATTTCAATATATATGTTAAAAGATGTTATTCCGCATTTTTTTTCAAGAATGTACAAATATGACATTGTTCTGGTCATTGAATAAGAAATTTAACAAGTAGGGAATCAGAAGCTTTCCTAGTGAGGTTGGGTTGCGAGATTTAAAGTGCCTTTGAAGGGTTTAGGATTATTATTTTTTATTTCCTGTTCTATTCATAAGGTATCAGAGTAAACTCTTAAAATTTTGCTGATAGTGTGATTCGCGAAACGCTTTGCGATATTTTTATTCAAGGGTATATTTTCAGTCCCTTGACTTGTATACATCACAACCGAAAATCGTTTGAACTGAAAATTTGAATTTGTCCGGCTTTTGCTAGTGCAAGTGCCTGGACTTAAGGAAAGTTTCTAGTGCAGACACGAAAGATAGTTCAAGCTTTGCTTATCGTAGCATTCCAACAATAACTATTCCATTGATTAACAACTATGTATGTATAATATAAACGCATACGTACTGTGACTTGCCCATTTGGAGTTTCTGGTTCGTCCCATTGAATAACCATGGTACTGGAACTGAGTGGTCGCACCTGCACGTTTCGAGGAGCCGTTCCAGGTTCTGAAATATCACAAGAAAAAATAGCCATTACGTATAAATATTCATCGTCTATGGCCGCTGGAAAACATGTTTTTTTCTTTTATTAAACGTCGATCAATCACGCAATACTTACTTCCACCTCCAAAAGAATAGCCGGCTATAAATTCACAACATTTTAGTAATTTTCTTCAATTGTTTTTTCGGGTTAATACATGAAAACGGTTTGCAGTTGCATTTTCCGAATACATAATATCGGATAGATTGCAGGTATACCGGGTGAGTAAAAAAGTAAGCCAGAATTTATGAATAGTTCAACCTTGAAAGAAGTATTTTATAAGGAAATCCACCAGAAGAAATAACAGAAAAAACTTTTTGAGTTTTTAAACTGACCAATAGGGAAATCAATAAAATCATGAATGTAAAAATAAGTAATAGTTTTCACTGGGGTTACCTACTTTTGGTGCTGTTTCAGAACGGCGATTTAAAAATCTTCATTTAACAATACAAAAGAAAACAGTTTCATTTGGGTTGATTTTCCTTAACGCTCTCTTGCCTCCGGCAGCAAAATCAAATATAAAAAAGTTGAAACATTGCTGAAGAATGCGATAGCGTAAGAAAAACCCGTTCGAACAAGACTAAATTTGATTGATTGGATTCAGTCAATCATTTTCGTTGAGCATAAGAGTGGGACACTTTGAAAACACAAAACACACCTTGAAAACGTCATTTATCTAATTTTTCTGTAACTCTTTCTGATGATTTCTTTTTTGCACTGCTTCATTTAGCGGCCGTTTTTGATCGTTTTGATTGAACAAAACATCTTATAAATCTCTTATAAAAAACTTCCTTTTGAAGAAAATGTTCCTTATGTTTTTGAGTCAACGTTCGCTCTTAGATGCTCACCCGGTACATCAGATACATACTGTACCAGGTGTTAATAAATAAAATACTGCGTAGTTGGCAATCATATCATTTGAAAGATATCGGGTCTAGTGAAAGTTGTTTACAATAATTAGCAACTGGTAAAGTAAGCACTTTATAACAGGGCGTTTCAAAATTACAATATCTTTCTCACAATGTAGTGGAAAAGATTGAAAACGTAGCAACATGTTAATCTGTCCTGCCTGAATTCATATCATAAGTTTTATAAGTTAAAATTGTTTTCCATATATTAATTGAGAAGAAGTTCATTTGTACTCCGTTCGTTTAACCACAATATAGCAATATTTTGAAAAGCCCTATTATCTGACTAATAAAACAATTATCTATTATAGCAAACACTAAAATATTCTCTACCACAAGAAACAGGTGCTGTATGTCTATACTAGTGGTGTCCAAAACACAAAAATCCCTTTAAAACTTACATTAATCAAAATCACAAAATCCGTGATTCAAAAATTTTTGTTTTGATCACGTGGTTGCATGAAAATGATAAATACGTTATAACACTCCAATTTATCAATTGAGTTATCAATTTAGTTTGATGAACATTTTCCAACGATACTTTAGATGAAGTCCCTGACGATCATCACAGTTCCGTTATAACAGAAAATTGAGACTCGAATTTTAACAGTTTGATAGTTTCAAAGGCGAATCAACTAATTAATCAAGTCCTTACCTGTTTCTCCTGTGGTAACAACAGCCGGAGCACTAGGCGGCCCTCGGCCAATGTTGTTGACCGCAATCACATACATTTCGTATTCGGTATAAGGGCTCAAATTTCGGACCGAATAGTACATCGTAATAATGCCGCTGATTTCGCTATATGCCTGATTTGCATACTTCGGCTTGAACTGGATCACATAGTATTGCAGGTCTTCTGATCCTGGATACGACCATGTCAGGCGCACAGAAGTGGCAGTAATTTCTGATGTCTTAACGTTAGTTGGTGGTCCCGGCAATGCTAAAAATGTTGAATATTATTATATCACTTCTGTATATCGCGATCTTTTAGATATAAGTTTAGCTGATGGTTCTAAACAGTACAAAGTACTGCCCAAACTGGGGCCCATCCTTTCAACCCTTTCTCGCATTTGGAAAGAATGGAAACATGTTCTACTCAAATTTGAGTTTATTTCTCGAATACATCAGCCCTCTCTAAAATCCACCTTCCCCTTTGCTATTAACAATATCCTCGAGCAGTTTAATGGTCATTTGGAACACCATTGGTATAGCTAAGCATTGTAGGATTCGCTCAAACTTAAGCAACATTTCTGTTTGAAAGTAGAAATGTATAACCATGTCGAACGCACATACAGTTCACCTTCCTTAGGGTGATAAGTACGCAATTTTCGGAATTATTAACCATATTCATTCAATTCAATTCAACCAACCAACCAACCATATTTGTTTTTTGTACGTTTGTATATTCAATATACATAAGTACGTAAGGTACTTATGGTTAATTGAATTTTTTGTACAATAGGTATATCTGAACGGTGATGATAAGATAGTCATTATATTTGGCAATGTATTTATATTGTGCAAATTATGTTGGATAAAATCAAATATTGCTGCATATCGGAAATGGTTTTAGATTTTTTCATAAGGAATTTTTATTAAGGGAGAAATCGTGCGGATGCAACAAATAAACTAAAGAAACGAGTGTAGAACATGAAATACCTAAAAAAAAATTGATTGCAAACGCATATTACAATTCTTGGTTTTAGGTAATAAATATTTATAAATAATTTTTATTTATGATTACTGTTAGGAGTTCCACATTTTTCACATCGCGTATTTCCATGTGCTTTCAAGTCTTCGGTAGTATAGTGGTAAGTATCCCCGCCTGTCACGCGGGAGACCCGGGTTCGATTCCCGGCCGGAGAGAAACTTTTTAATTTTTTAACATTGATTTTTAGTGAAATACGGTTGTATTACTTATTGTATGTTTACGGTCGATTTTTGCAAAACGATTATTTTTTTTATGAATAAAATCCACGTATATCCTAGTATATGACTTATTAGAGCATTAATATATTTTCGTGAATAAATTTTGTTGCATATTGTGATGAACAGATAAATTTTAATTTAAGTTTAACTAAAAACAGGATAAATCGAATATAAACAAACTGCGTATTAAGAAATAAATAAATACATGAATTAATTAGTTACAATAAATATAATCACCTTTTTATAACGCAAATAAAAAAGTACATTAAAAGAAACGATTACATTGTGTGGCTGAAAGGTTAACTAATGCGTGGCTCAAAGGCCTAATCTGGTCTGCTAGACAGTTAAAAACATATTAAAGCATCATTTTCGATTTTACTGCACTTTAGCGGTAAATCATTTATCGAATTTACGATTGTGCTTTCTGTCGTCAATTTGCATTAAGCGAAAATAAAAAAATGTAATGAATATATGAATAAATACTTATTAATACGTTTCTTAATGGAAATAACGAACAAAGAAAAATAAAAAAATATATCAGATATTTTATTCCAATATATTGGGTGTGTTCGCTTCCCATGGATTAAACAGTATGACTCCGTAAGTTGAAACCATATGAAAAACTTTTATATGATTGTATTTAGCAAAAAAGTATGTCTGTCACGTCAGAAAAAATAAACATTTCTTTCAGGCGGTTTGTCAATAAATATTCATTTTATTGAACTGTAAAGTACCTGATAAGTTCAAAATTTGCTTATGAGCATCTATCACTTGAAAAACGGCATTATTTAATTAAAAATATCAAATTTTGAAAAGGAAAAAGAGGAGAAAGGATAACCTTCTTGAAAATAAATTTACTGATATGGAATTCAACATTTTGAAAGTATTTCCGAAGGAAAATAAAGTTCAAATCAAACATATACTTAAGTCGACTTTCCTGGGCATTATGCGGTAATGCTACGTTATACTATATCTAATCTGCCTGCTATTAGTGTTGCACTTAGTGTGCGGTCAAGTGTCTTTTCTCGTATGAAAGTCGGTAAAAAATACTTCTACTTACATTGTACTTTAACTTGGGACACAGTCTCAACGATACCAAGAGCACTGGCTGCTATGCACGTATAGTTGGCGGATGCTTCGATTTTTCTCAAGTCTAAGGTGTTTTTTCCAATTGGCAAATTATTTTCTGGTGTGAGATCTTCTGTAGCGCCTTTCCGCCACTTTACAAAGGGCATGGGAGAACCTACAGCTACGCAGGTCAAATTAAGGTCGTCTCCCAATTTGACCTCAACTGATGGCGGTGGAGGGATGGAAAATGACGGAGGAACACGTCGAACTTTAAAAGAAAAACACATTTCAACATTTCTAAAGAGTAAGTTTGTGTCCAGTTCATGTCATTTTCTCGTTTGAAAATCTGATAATTCTAGTTCCAATTGGTTAATTAACTAACTGCTAGTTTTGGATATAACTCAAGTACAGACTTATAAGCAATAAAAGCGAAAGCTTGGTCCTAATATTCTTATTACATGTAATAGCAAAGTAATAGAAAAATTGTCTATTTGGATATTAAACGCGAAAATGAAACATTAAAACCAAATTTTAATTTGCCTGCAATGTTGCGTTCTTAAAAATTTCGAACATACAAACGTACTTAACCGGATTCCAGCTGCTGAATTAATTTTTAATTAAAATGAAGAGGGAGAAGAAAAAAACAGATAAAACGCGAATGAGATAATTTCGTATTTGGGAATTCTATTTATTACCCAGCAGTAAACCCGAATATTTTCTACCTGCTACTGCTGCTCTGTTTTATTCGTTTCGGGATATTTGTAAGATCGCAGAGTGTTGCATGAATACAAGTTCGTAAATTTACAAGTGAACACATCTACATGTAATTGAGTTTATTCATTTGCGTAGAGGATTTCATCCCTTTGGAATTACGAAATATTTTTAAATTGAGTGATACTTGTCGAAGGAAGGCCTTTTTTATTTTTCGCGCGCCAAATCCAGTGAGATTAAGAATTGAAATATAGAATGAATTTTTGAACAAATGTTTTATTTACACATCCTTTGTTTTTCGAAGCAATATAACTATTAGTGGTCGGCCAGATGCTATTAAATTTTAAAGTCACAAATTTTTCACTAGTTTTAAAGAAAAAAACAGGCTTCTGTTTTTAAGCCAATATCCAAATAAATATATCTAAAACACTAACCTAATTGCATAAGTTATAATTCTTACCTTTAACATAAAGTAACGCAAACTTGGAGTAATCGGTACCAATCGAGTTCTCAGCTACACATTCGTACTTGCCCTGATCTTTTTCTTCGCTACTTTTTATTTGTAAGGCACCTGCAAAGAGTAATAAAATATTTTTAGAAGATGTATATAACATGTAATATATGTATATAATATGCAATCCTAAACTAATGTAATGTAAACCTAAAATTTCCTGGACCGCTTTAGCTGATAACGAAACTGATTCCGGACTCAATTAGTTGTAGGCGAATGATCTGCCCATTTATTCAAAAAAATTTAAAAATTAAAATACACGAACATGCTCGGTTCAAACTGTAAATTGATTTATTAATTATTTTATCGTCTCACTCTCGATCTATTTTATCGAGATAATTTTTATTTCATTCCGTGCTATGAAGCATATCATTTTTACGATAATCTCCTTTTTAAAGTTTTTTTCCAAGCAACCTTCAACATATCGGACCTTAGTACAAAACATCTGCTAAATATTCAAGCTGACTGCATTCACGCAAAGTATCATTTTTATTCTTAAAGATGTTCTTATTAGTCTAATTACAGTTGTGATATGTATTATATTTAAGCAACCAAATTTGTCAACCATCATGATTTGCGAAATCAAAAGCCAATTTTAAATAAGACTGTCTTTTGTGACTAAAAGTGGTACTCCAAGTTCTCTTATGGTCTTTATATATTTTTTTCTGACTGTGGCAAAATATCTTCTTTGTTAATTGGTAATTTTGTTGGTTTATTTAGATCTCTCCCCATTTTTGCTAATTGGCATACCGCATCATGAATTGCTCTTTCAAAATATGCAAATTTATGGCTTTTTAACGCCCTTACTTATCAGAACTTGAACAATCTCAGGGATTGATTGCAGTCGTTTCTGCAGAAATTATTTGAAATTCATTCGAAAGTACACTTTCAAGCGTTCGTATATACTATGGTTATTTTGGGACAAACTTAAGAATTAGGTGCATGTTTTTGTCCTCAGTTTCAAATTATTCTTCTGTTTAGGTTTACAGTTTTTATTTTCTGTTACCTATTTATTTGTGCATCAAGATAAATTAAAAATTTCGGTTGACTGTTAGAGATAAACCAGCTATTAACAAAGGGCGGAATATGCACAAAAGCTTGAACATTCTAAAAAAGGCTGTCTTTTCTTCAAAACTTTCAGTTTTCAGAAACACGATTAACTAATTTTTGAAAGGCGTACATTTTTAAACACATGATATATTTCAGTGTCTCATTAAGGATTGCTTCTTGCAGCAGTAAAACATAATCGCTATAGTCATTTCTTGTGACCCCAAAAAAATCGAAATTATACATTTTAATAAACCCTCCTTAGGCATAGTTATTGTAATGACTATGAATGAATAATTTAGGTCAAGTATTTGTTCGTCTCTCAAAACGAATTTCGGCTCTTTTCACAATTAAAATATTCCGATTCCTGATTGTGTTGTCCAAATAAAGGGAGAGCTTCCGCTAACTATTCACAGCACTTCAGTGAAAACCCAAAGGGCTCTCGTCCGTATTGACATCGTCGGCCTTTCAAAATACCTTCACGTGCCAAACTCAAATTTCCCTGACTTAGTGTCAACGTTTATCAAACCTCCGTATAAACAGTTTGAAACTGATTATGCAGGAATGATCGGTTTATTTCAGGGAGAGGAACAAACCAATAACAATTGTAATCATTTGCTTGTGTATAAGCGCCATCTCAGTTTGCACGCAACTTTGTGACAAATTTATTTCTTGTAAATGCGATTAATATATGTATGTACGTGCATATCTGAAGTTATTTAAAAAGTTTTTTTAATCAACATTTAAATATACATGAAGAATTATATGCAGAAATGTAGGTGTAGAGTACACCATCAAAGTTTATTGAAACATTACCATTCCTACCACGTTTTAGTGAGTTGCTGATATTGTACTTGCTATTTGAGCATCCGTGTGTAAAATATTTTGAAAGTTCTCTTCTGGCAGGGTAATCAAGATACACTTTAGATTCCTCATACAATTTTTCCGGATGCATAACATTCATAAATAATATAACAAAATGTATTAATTCGTCTTAAAATGTCCTTGGCAGATTTAGGATTTTATTTGCCGAAATCGGAGTTTTAACTAGCATTATGAGGAAATTTGGAGAACTTATCTTATGAAAGGCAGTAGCGAGAAGCGCAGCGCCATAATAACGAAATATTGTCTGACGAATTATTGAAAATAATGTAAAATGTGGTAGGAAGAATCGAATATTTCAAATTATGTAGTCGAATTAAAATATAGTTATGGCACTTTTAGTAGAATGTAATAGAACTTTCAATCTTGATATGTACACAGGCTCCGAACACGATCAATTGACATCTTTAATTCTAAATTGCCGCCAATATCATGAAAAAAGAACAACCAGGAGCCTACTAGTTCGCTCAAATAAACCTTTCTGTCCTCCTCATTCTTCATCCTAATTCGATATTAATAATAATATTTCAGTGCGTCATATCATCATTCACATCAGTAAAATGAGATTTAACTTGTACATATTTCCTTTTCGTATTTAATTAGGTATGGTTTTCCTCAAAACCAATCCACTTTTGCGATGTGTAAATAATTTGAGACATTTTTAAAAATTAGTTGAATTAGTTCGACTCCTTCCATCATCGAATACTTCGAATTGCTTAACTTGATGATTATCTACGTATTTAATCAGTTGTTTGCTTCTCTTCTCTTCTAAAGTTGTGCGTTTGCTTATCACTCAGGGAAAAACGCAATTCTCTTTGAATCTGAAACACTTTATTAACGAAAATCAGCCAATTTGCATTATTATTTAACGCACTGTGTGATAAACAAATTTGAAATTATGTTCTCGTCAAAATTAGCCTACAATGGAAAATGCATCAAAATCGACCACACTCTCATTAGCACTAAATCGAGTTAAAGCTTTGTTTTCAAAAAATCACAATCTGTCTGATTTTTTTAATAGAGTCCTGTTTGCTGGCCATGTAAAAATGTCTTTATAGTTTGATTCTAACCATGTCGAACGTATTAGAATTTATTTATGTTTTGAAATGGAAAGCTGTATTTGAACTACTGGATCTGCCCGAGAGAAATAAGTATTGACATTAAATTAAACATATTTCATTTTTTGAACGATCATTTAGATATTAACCAGTAACAACCTAATGTATTCATTAAAGAATAATGACATACAGGTCTAAATTAATAAGCAACTTTAACACTTAATAACAGGTTTAATGTCGATTATTTTTTCAATTTCGATTTGACGGAACTCAGGTCCGTGTTCACCATTTTCTGTGCATTAATCAAAAATTGGTTAAAAATTGGTAACTAATAAAGTGGTTTCCATACTGACATTAATTTGTTACAAGAAACTGTAAGAGATTTAATCTTTAGCTTTGTTTGTAATATTGTTAACAGTTTTGTTCGCCTTAACTTGTCATGTTCAATATCTAAATACATTCTATAAAAAAAACCGATATCTAACACAGAACTTGTTCCAGCCGTGTAGTGGAACTGGAAAAGCAGTGGATAATTCCCTAAAAGAATTTAAAAAAAAAATGAAACTTGTCTACTCAAAAACATATGATCTACTCTTCTTAATTGCTCAACAATGTCCGCGGACACACTTTTCAAAGGTACTTCTGGAGAGAAAAATTCTAGTACTTAAGTAAAGAAAACGTACAATTCCCGAACAAACAAAGCAAGCACTTTGGCGAAGCGCTTTTGTGCGGACTCATAATGCAAAATAGAATGCCATTTTTTTTTCAGTCTCATTGTGGTTGATATTTGAGACTTTTTCTTATGCAGAGAGCCTCATTTGTTTTGACACGTGAAACGTTCATAAAGAACTTTTTGTTTGCAGTCGAATGAAACGAATTTTTCTTGGTCGTTTGTATACCAGGCGGTGATAAATTGGCCGCAGTAAAAGACAGCGTTTTTAAGTACGTGTGGGCCGTTTGATCTTTGAACAATGTCGTGTCGTTTAGTACGCCAATTCCAAAAGAAGAAAAATAACAAATTGAGTTTTGAAATGTTTTCACTTTTCGTATTTAGGGAATATTACCTCCTGAAGTGGAGCGCTCTCGAAACACGACTCATTCAATAAAACTTATGTACCCTGCACTTACATAAAAATATTACCCGAGTGCTCATATTGTTTTAAGCGTTGCCTCATACAGCTTGAAAACACTTTTCACTACACCTGCAGGAAAATAAACTCTCTCTAAGATGTTTATTAACATAATAAAAGTAAAGAGCGCAATCTAGTTGACTGACACAGAAAGATCTTATTCGCAAATGCATTTTATTCTGTCACTACCTTGGTTCCCAGCATTTATATTAATTCCCCACTTTAACATCAACTTTGAAGCTTCTTTGAGGTAAATTTTTAATGAGGGTGTTGATGTAATTTTTTATCTTAGAATTCGTTTGAAGATGTGTTATTTTTCTAATTGATCCTTTATTGATCGTCGCCTATTATGTTAGCAGAATCAGCTGCTCCTGCTTGTCTTATTTTTCTTGGTTGAAAAGGTGTTGATATTTTTCATCGTCTTTGTGTTTACGCTTTCGACTTTATTCAATTATATTTCCTGTCATCCAACGCTTCTTTCTTTCAGATTTTTCTATCCCAATTTGCATCTTTGAGTTTGAATTTCTCGCAGATTGTATTCGGTATTTTCTTCATTGTCTGTGAAACAATGTCTATATCACTCCATCTCTTTATGTTTATTGCTACAACATATTTTATCTATGGTTCATTTTCTTTGTGTTTTTAGTCATCATTTAAGTTATCTTGTGAGCATCCTGTAATAGCCATTACTTATTAATTTGTTCAAGACTTTCTTTGTTCATTGCAATATATGCTTAATATCCACCTTCCTCGCTAATCCAGCAAAAGCTCACTTTTATTAGGCTTATCCTGTGCCGGATTATCTACTAAGATAGTAAAAATAGTAACCTTATCTAAACAGATTTTATTACTGTTTAATACTTTCTCAAGAAATTTCCACAATCGTCAATTGTATCTAACCCACACCTTTAATTAACCAGGGAAATTTTTCCCTAACTTGAAT